CATAGGCCTTTGTATCCTTGGGAAACTCTGAGACAAGATTCACATAGAGGGCAACAAGGGAAACAAAAGGTGTCTGCTAAACAAAAGATGGATTAGGGCTAGGTGCTACTCTCTGGAGCCAGGCCAGGTGCAGCTCAGCAGGAATGCAGCCACAATTATATATAATGAACATATGCTAGTAAAATACAATGTTTTTACACTAAAGAATATCCTAGAGCCTGGAGTTGTAGCTGAGTTATCGTTAGCATGTGTGAGGTCCTGAGTTCCATTCCCAGCATTAAAAATGGCAAAACAGCCCATCATTTCCTGTTTGGTTCTATGCAAGAAAGAAAGCTCTATCTTTCAAAGTGTTGTGGTTCACTGAGATTTCCTATTGGAAATTTCAACCCTGTGCTTGGAACTTGAGTTCAGGTTTCTATAGAGAAATTAGGGCTGGCTGTGGCATAACTCTCACAGCTCTTGTACAATGCACACGCCAAAAGATGTTCTACCTGCACTGAGCACGGGTTAAGTGTCTTCTTACTTGCCTTTAGCTTGAGTCCACCATTATCAAGCTTACCATTATAATTCCACTTTAGATTACCTTTCTCGTGAGCAGTTTTGTTTGTTTGCAGTGGTTTTCTTTATTCACTGGTGTGTATGACTACTTCTATCAATGATGTTTTCAGACTTTACATTGCTAATGACCTCACTGGGGATCCTCAGTGCACTGTTTCATTAATGTATCTTTCAAAAGTGCATTTGTTGTTTAGGCTCACATTATTATTGCTAACTTATTTTAATGACCTAAGATAGAAATATTTGAGTGATGATTTGCTCTAACTGGGGTTATAAAAATAAAGACCAGAGAACTGATTACTTAAGACAAAAGGGGAAAAGAGGTGGTTAGTGAAAAAAAAAATGGAGATGTGAGACAGAGAAGTCAAATATGCAATATCTAAAATTATAAACGGACCATGAAACTTGTATAGGGTATTATTATAAGGAACAATGCTATTGTATACAAATTACAACAGAATTTAATAGCAATTTGAGACTTCAAGGGTTGTGAGACTGAGAATCTCTTTTCTTGCTGATGAATGGAAAGAAGCTGCCCTCTGCCTGCTTTAAGCAACTCGGACCACCAGTTAATGTGGGGTGTATGAAAAGAGAAAAATGGAGGCAAACAAACTATTGAGAGACTTTTACTGGGGAGATATAAATCACCCCAGAGGGCACATTGACAATAGACGAAAGAAAAGAGTCTACTCAAGTCTATCTTAGTGAACCAGTGAGATTACAGGGTTTCTCAGAGAAGTGGGAGTGACTAAGGTCCAGTCCCAACTTCGTATGCCAGCCTGTGTTGACTACCCAAGGGCAGCCTTCTCTCTATGAGGAGGGGATGGGGGTGGGATGGGGCTAGGTGTAGGGGGAGTGGGAGGAGAGGAGGAAGGGGGAACAGGGGTGGGTATGTAAAAGAAAAGAATTTATTTTTACATAAAAATTATAAAATAAAATTTAAAAAAAGCTACATCACCAAAAAGCTCACCCCAGCATGGGTAACTATTCAAGAAAGCTGCATCCCTGGAGCTCCTTATATGAGGTAGATCAGCATCCTGGAGCATCTTCTTTCCCCAGATTTTATAAAATTAGAGGGAGCCTTGTGAATCTTACAGTTTTCAAGCTTTTCTTAAAAATTTGTGAGTTAGAGGTTTTTTTTTCTTCTTTCAGCATTCCTTAGTTCTTTGTGTAGCATTGAGGCCTCCTATTTTTAACCACATCCAATTGGTTTATAATACCAAATGGTCAGTCATGAAAAAAGCATACAAGAAATATAATACAGACTGAGCAAGTTTTACGTGTGTGTGTGTGTGTGTGTGTGTGTGTGTGTGTGTGTGTGTGTGTAAAACAACAATTAAATAAAAAGAGGCCACACATTTGAAAAAGATCAAAGAGGGGTATATGACAGGGTTTTGAAGGTGGAAAAGGAAGCAGGAAATAATGTAATTATAATCTCAAAAAATAACAAAACTATTTTAAAAAAAAAACATTACTTACTTCATGAACCTTGTGAGTTTTATTCACTTCCAAAGAAAAAAAAGACTTAAGGAGTCCTCCTCCAGCGTAGAATGTTTCATGTTGGTGGAACAGCTTTGCAGCACACACCTCCACTGACAGAGAAAGAAGGGGAAAAAAATGAAAATTTCAGTCTGTTAGGATGTTCTGTCAGCTGTAATGTGCAGCCACTTTAAGTTTTGTTCGAGTGAGACAGAGGAGACACGTTTTACCCCATTTTTACCCCACAACTCAGTGCAAATGAACTGGCGTGACCGGGAGCACACGCGTTAGCTGCAGTACAGGGAAACCCCAAAGAGCAGATTACAAGTTGAAGAGGGTACAGTACCAATTATACCATTATCTCACCCTACTCTCTGAGTGAACAGTCTGAAAGCCTAAAATTACAGATGATGTTAGATTTCTTGGCTTCATGTGCAAATGGGAGTCATTTTCCTTTTTTTTTTTTTTTTTTGAATGCATAAACACATGTTATATTGTTTCAGAGGAGCAGTCCTTATAGTTTGTTATGATATTTTCTTCATTTTGTTCACCATGTCAAAGGACTGTTTTACAAAATTTAGGTTGTTGCAAACCCATGTAAGACTGATTCTCAGAATGATTTGCGTTGGCCTTTAGGACCATTTGAGCTAAGGCTCTTTGGCATGCTGTTTGTTAGGAGACAAGATCTGGTGAAGGGCCCTCAAATGGCCAGATGTGCCATTTTGGAACAGATTGAGGGTCTGCCAAAATACCATTTGTTGCCAGGACCGGATATCATAGGGCGTTCATCACCCTGTTACCATATTTTTACACTTCTTAGCATTGCATAAATAGGCAGCTGTTCTCTATTTTGAATATAAATTAGTCACCAGCTTGCTCTCCCTGGAGGATATACCTACAAGAGGGAACCCCAGTGTTAACCCTTCTCATCCCTTGCATGAATGTCAAAATGTACGTTCCTCATTCAGAAGCCAGTTTCTTACGCATAAATATCACATGTCCTTTGCCAGTTAGACAAGGAGAAAACAAAAACCAACCAAACAAACAAACAAACAAAAACAAACAAAAAAAACCCAAAAAACAAAAAACAAAAACAAAACAAAATAAAAATCCTGTGCACTTCTCAGTGCTAATGTGTAACACCTGTCCTTAACAGAAAAGCACTAAATGAATCTGTTTCTAAGTTGACAGTGAACAGTTTGGAGAGAATCTTTTGCTACTGCTCCTTCAATAGGAAACAAACTTCTCTCTTACATGGCAATGACTTCATTAAGATAAAAAGCTGTGTTAAAGGGTGTGTTATGAGAAAAGAAGAAAAGAAAAACCTGAAAAGTTATTCACTTGTTTCTCTGGGGCTATTTTCAGGATAGAATTTTTTTTTCATTTATTTATTTGCAGAATGAAAATGAACCTGGAGACTCCACAGAACAAAGGAAGATACAGAGGCTGAGATGGGTCTCATGATAGGATAGGGAAGGCAACTGACTCAAAATAATCCACATTGCCAATAGTTGTTCTATCTAACAGACTATATGAGGCTATCTAGTAACTATGTGTATGTAGTCAATTATATATATATATATATATATATATATATATATATATAAAATTTAGACACATTTATGCATCTGTATGGACATGCACCATGCACATACATATAGAAACAGACATACCTCCACATGTGTACATGTATTATATATAAGGGAACAGTGTATGTAGATAGATAGATAGATAGATAGATAGATAGATAGATAGATAGATAGAAATTTTACCTTTACATACTTTAAATTAAACCTTGTTTGCTAGATTATACTATATGCCTGAAATCTCAATAATTGACAAGCAGAAGGATCATAAGATCGTTGGTTTGAGGCCAGCCTGGGCTACATAGTGAGGCTGTCTCAAAGAACACGAAACTAATTGTATAAGACAAAATAAAGCTTATGAGGGTTGGGATGTCAAAGAAAAGGAAAATGAACATAGTTGGGAAACAAAAGACGGTGAAGGTAAACATTATGTCAGCCAATCTCAACTCCTATTTTGAATGTTTTTACTAAAATAGTTATGGCCATTATTTGCCAAATACACTCACTTCTCTTCAATATGGTAGGGCACGTAGACTTCCCACCTTGCCAGCAGAAGAAATGATTGTACTGATAGATATGTGACATTTGGACATCTGACACATGCCAGATTTTTGGAGGTTGTATCAGAGGTCCAACCTGCTGTTCTCTTTACTAATGAAAACAGGGATGATTCGGGCTGCAACAGGGCTGTAAAGGGTATCTCTGCCCCACATGTCACGCTACCCAGATGTCACCTGGCAGGTGGGGATACAGAGAGAATAAAAATGAAGCCTTGTATGTGGGTGCTAGTGTGTTGCGAAAGTCAACAACTGAGTCTGCTTGCTGAAGTGTGGATAGCTGTGTGGTGTGTCCACATTCATGTCCCAAGAAAGACAGCTTCTTAGAGTTCTCACTTCACATCTATCATAGTCCCGTGTGTACACAGGCCCATAGGCTGCATGTGTACAGCTTGCTTCAGGGTTTAGTTTATCTTAGATATTTATTGTAATGCACTTATGAACACATATACATATTTGCTTTTCTTAATAGAAAGTAGATCCACATTATGTGAAATGTTCCATAACTTGCTTGCTTATTAAAGCTCAGAGCTATATCATAAATGTCTTATTTCATTGCTCTTTGACATCTCATTTTTAAACCTGGATTTTAGAACCAATATATATAACTAATAGCTCTTTTTCCATCAGTGGACATTTAGGTTGGGTTTGACCTATTTTTCTAATGGGTGTGACTATGTGCACTGGAAATACCCAGCATCTATTATGTGGGTAAGGCTTAAAGTTAATTTTGGCAAGACAAAATAAAATATTATTATTAGGAATGTTTTTAACTGTTTTAATTTTCCTTCAGTATTGCGAGATGACTTCCGACAAAACCCCACAGATGTGGTAGTGGCAGCTGGAGAGCCTGCAATCCTGGAGTGCCAGCCCCCGCGGGGACACCCAGAACCCACTATCTACTGGAAGAAAGACAAAGTCCGAATTGATGACAAGGAAGAAAGAATTAGTGTGAGTCCATTTACAAAAAAGATCTAGAGATACTGAGTTTCTCATCTGAACAAATTCTGTTAACACATTAATAACAAAATTGGATCTAAATGCTAATTTACCATATACAACATACTGAATTTTGGATGGGACTCCATAAGACAAACATAAATGTCTATGTTATACTAATAATTGCACCAATTTGAGTATGTAATTGTGATTATATCATGTAATATTAATATCTTTTTTTTCTCTAGAGATTTCTACCAGTCATTTATGCTTCATACATTGATATTAAAATATACATGGTAGCCATTAAGCTTATTACCTACCTCTCATTTTATACTAGATTCAGTATTATAAAAGGAGATGAGGACAACTTCACTGAAATAAAATTTGCATTTGATATTATTTAGTAATTCCTCATTTAGATAAAATACAGTGACTGAGAATTAATGTATTTTGTTAAAAATAAATGTTTCATTTGACTAGACAAATGTTATTTTGTTGTTTGAATTTCTTTTAGGACCACCAGCTCACAAATAATGACACAGAGACTTCTTATTATGAAAGCTTGGCCTTTAGTTTAGGTTTGTCCCCAACTAGCTCTAATAACTTAAATTAACCTGCTTCTATCAATCTACATTCTACTACATGGCTTTTTTAACCTCTGCAGCATTGTATACAACCAACTTGGTCCATGTATTGCTGGTGTCACATTGCACCTAGATTCATCTCCTCTTCCTCTCTCTTCCCAGAAATACTGCCTATTCTCTTCTGCCTAGATGTTGCCCATTTAGCTCTTTATTAAACCAATCAGAAGGCACCTTGGCAAAGACACATATTTACAGTGTACAAAAAGGTTATCCCACAACATTATTTCAACAAAAAAATCATATGTGTTATCTGTTATATTTAAATATATAGTTTTTATAAATGTGAATTCATGCCATGCAAACATTGAGATTTTTAATTATGTAAACAATATTACATAAAATATAAATGGAAGGTAGAGATTGCAATATATACTCACGTTTCTGCCTTTATTATTACTATGAAGGGTTACCAAACCAATGAGAATTTGGTCTTTAGTTAAAGGTTTTGTGTTGAGTATGTTCTTTTGAAAAATATATCCTTTGACCTTTGCTATTTATCAAACCATCTCAAAATTCAATGGTTTATACAAGCCATTTTACTTATAATCTAAATTCTATGAAAAATAAAACTATTTTTTTCAGCAATAAGTTTGGCTAATCTTAAATATTCAAAATTATTAAGTTTCCTTTTCTTTTGTTTATTTTGTATAGATCCGTGGTGGGAAACTGATGATCTCAAATACCAGGAAAAGCGATGCAGGGATGTATACCTGTGTGGGCACCAATATGGTGGGAGAAAGAGACAGCGACCCCGCAGAGCTGACTGTCTTTGGTAAAACTCTCCTCTAAATTATTAGTTACTTTTCCTGTTTCTGTGGCCAAATGCTTGACAAGAAGCAGCTGAACAAAGGAGCATTTTGGGGGCGGGGGGTGGTGGGGGAGGGGGGGGAGCACATGACAGTGGCAGAGAAGTCCTGGTTACAATACTGTAGTGCAGCTGGTTGCTTATACTGCATCTAAAGTCAGGAAGTAAGGAGACATGAACATTGCTGCTTGGTTACCGGTTTTCCTTTCAACTCAGCCCAGGACCACACCCCATAAGATGGTATTTTGCATATTTAGGGGAGGTCTTCCTACCTCAGTTAACCTAATCTGAAAGCTCCCTCGCGAACAAGCTCAAAGTTGGTCTTTTCAATAACTCTACATCCTGTCAGACTGACAATATTAGTCCTCACAAACTGTTAACAGCTGCAATTTTGTGAACACTGAAATATAGGACATATATTAACAATTACTCATTAACTGGAATAATCAATAAAGATTAGAATTGGGGTTTTTGGGGGCTTTATGATGAAAACTTTAATGTCAAATTTATAGAGAAACATCAATATATCTATTTATTTATGTATTTAAAGTATTGTCTGTCATGAAAATGTCAAAAGCTACACTATTTCTAAGATGATTTGAAATAATAAACCTGTCCAGTGCTCATCATTCATTCTTTTGATATATTTATCAGGTGTTAGATACATTTATACATATATATATATATATATATATATATATATATATATATATATAATACATACACATGTGTACTTGTGCATGGATTTAAATACATATTAACAGATATTTTTACTCATTCTGATGTCATAATACCCTAAAATTTAAGAGAATATGTAAACTATTAAATTATTTTTCCCTGACAGTAAAATATCTCTTCTAATTCTTTGCATGTTATGGCAAGGTCCCTACTTATGGTCATTATTCTAGGACATGCCCAAGCACACTGTTGAAGTCTGACATAGGTCTCCAATGGAGCATCTTCTGCAGCTTGAGAGGTACCATCCACTCTTAGGATAGTAGCATCGAGGTAGAAACAGATATTGTGATGCCCCTTTGGTTATATTTTTTCAATGAAGGCTCAAGGCCTCTTCTTAAATGTTCTGCATGCTAAATAATCTCTGATAATACTCCCTTTGATAACTCCCCCACCTGAAGTCTCAAATGTGAAAGGCAGGAAATATCCCATAATTCATTAAAGAAATGAGTAAATATAACTCTGCTCAATGTAGGCTTGTAGACTTCCATTCACCTAGTCCAGATAACTCTAAGTTTGTCTCTAAATTGTATGCAGTCACCTCTCAGAGTCTTAAAACTCCCTCTACACAGTAATGAAAAAGAATACAGTTTTGTCTGGTAAGATATAAAATTAGTGGCCACTGAATATCAGCATTGAAAGCCCACAAATATAGCTCTTCTATTTAAAGAAACACTCATTGCTATTTTTTTTTGTAACTACCACAAGCTCTTGAGTAGAAAAACATTGCATTATAGACTGTCTTCAGAGGGAAATTGAAAGGGTTCAATGTCATTACCAGAGCAATTAGATCTACCAGTAATGTATTTGTATTATGAAATATTTACCCTACTTTCCCTAAAGACATTATGGGAACTACAAGAGACCTCTAAGCCTGTCAAGAATTGTGGTACAAATTCTAAATTATTTTAAAAATAGCTATGAACCCAAGAGATTAAATTTATCTAGAGGCAGTTCCTGTGGAAGAATTGATTTAGGGAGCTGAGAAACAGTTATCTGATGGTGTAAACTGACCTGAGGGGTTTTATATACAGTAAGTTAAAGGAAAGCTGAAATCCCATTATGTACAACAAAACAACACCACAAATCAAGAAACACAGGAAAGAGAGAGACAGACAAACCAAAGAGACAGAGAAAGACAGACAGAGAGAGAGAGAGAGAGAGAGAGAGAGAGAGAGAGAGAGAGAGAGAGAATGAAACTATTGAGGGAGGGGGTATCTGAAGGGTGTTGGCAAAGTTTTATATATATATATATATATATATATATATATATATATATAATTTTTAAATGATTGAGGAAAAGAAAAAATAGAATAGGGAAATGTTGGGCTGATCAAAGCTGTGAGTCTCGTGTGAGAGGGCATTGCTGTGCTAATTTTAGAGAAAAAAGATAAACAGTGGGACCCACCTCATTTATTACATTTGAATCTCTTACCACCAGAGGAGAAAATGAATCACAATGCAGTAATATTTAGTTCACAGGTCATAATATCTACATCTAAATGAACTGCCTTTTATTTTAACATTATTGAATATTGTAATTTTGGAATTAAGTTTGTAAACCTGGTTCACATTATTCAGTCCACCTGCTCAGCTTTATTTTCGCATAGCTGCATGATCACCTTAAGGTCTTTGGCTACCATTGTCCTTCTCCAGCTATGGAATGCTAGCTCTACTCGAGAAGTTCTACAGAAAAAGTAATTGGTGATGTTGACTGTTCAAGAAAAATCATTCACTTATGAATTACAAGGAGAGCAAAGAAAAAATAAAGGTTCTTTTCTTACTCAATAGTCATCAACATTACTGCAAAAAGTATCTATTAAATTTTCAGTGTTTTTATTCTTCAACGAGTGGGCTTGTTCTAGGATATGTAGTTGGGACATTTCATTTTAATGTGTGCTGTTTTCACAAAGGTGTGATCACAGTAAACTGATTTTCAGTACCAGATGAATGGTCTATTCTATTTGTTTGTCAGCAATCATTTTTTTTTTTTTTTGGTTTATGAGATAACCTCCTCCTCAAGTGCACATTATCAAGTCTAAATGTCAGAATGTGCCCATTATCAAATCTAAAAATCAGATCTGAAATGACACTGTTCTCTATGACAAAGTCTAGGCATTTCATAAAGAACATCCCTACTCTCCATTCTATAGATCATTAATGCTTATGTTAAGCTCTGAAGATCCTAAACATGCTCAGAGAAACTAGAATGGGAGGATACAACCTATAAGCTGAAAATTATTTATTAAAAATAGCTAATAGTAAAGCATATGTTTTCTAAATAATTTTTAAATGTATCAAAATAATACACAAAATAAGTTTTGAGCATTGGAAATTTCATATATATCATAGGTATTACAAACCAAAATAATATGCTGAAATGTTTTGATTTACAGCTTCCTTAAGAACCCTTCACATGTACGTGGTTGTACATGAATACATGTATGCATACACACAAACACACACAAACACACACACAAACACACACACACAAAGAGGTACGTGCACATTCTTCATCTTTGATTACTTTTGCAAGTTTCTTTTATTCCCTTCCCCATTTGGGTATTCATTTTAATATTTTAAACATGTTTTTCTAGTATATGTCTTATATATTATGACATTACTCTATATTCTATTTTGGAAAATAAGAATTTGATCAATTTATAACTTCCTTCCAGCCCTTCTTTTATCTACCTCTTTCTAGTATATTCTCTTTAGAATCATTCATACTACTAATGTTGAAATTTGGATAGCTAGAGAGATGCCTCAGTGAATAATGCGTCTATCATGCAAACATAAGGATCTGATTTCAAATCCCCAAAATGCATATAAAACAGGCAGAGTAACTCACATCTCCAATCTCTCTATAGCAAGATAGAAAGGAGACAGAATTCACTGAAGCATCCAGGCCAGCTAGCCTGATTTATCTTGTCTCAAACAAGATGGGTTGTGAAAACTGACACCCAAAGTTATCCTCTGAATTCTATGTGTGTGCCATGGGTACCCTGGTGCCCAAAAATAAAAACACGTACATGCACATACTTTAAACACTTGTTATACACAGTTATTTTTAACCATGTAGATATTATGACCTGTGAACTAAATATTACTGAATCGTGATTAATTTTCTCCTCTGGTTGTTTTGAAATGGTAAAGACTACATTCTAATTTTCACAGTTCAACAATATGTACTTACCCATAATAGCTGTCCTGGAGATCCCAGACTCTCTGTCCATTCAGTTCTGCTCCAGAATCTCCAACTTGACTTTTGCCTCCTTTGCTTTGATGCTAGATTCTGTATGCCTAGCATCCTGTATCTGTTTCTTTGCTTCCTGTTTACAGAAGTAATTCTCTATTGCTTTCTGCTTGACTGGAGCTCAGGACACATCCCAAATCCATATGCCTTTACTCTATGTGAAATTTAAGTTGCAAAATCATAGTGTGAAAATTCTTTAATTTTCTGTTGAAAGTGCCTCTCCAAAGCTGTTTAGCCCCTTGCATTCCTCTAGGGAAGTCTGTTGTGACTGTGTTGGCATACTTTTGCATCTAGTCAGGGTCTTTGGATTTGCTTATTTTTCCCCCAAAGTCTTAGCAGTGTGTCCTTAGATCACAGTTCTGACACATTGCAAGGGTATGCTTTGATTTGGCATTCCTCCACAGCCTCATTTATTTATATGCTAGTCAAAAAAGTCAAAATCAGAAATCTCTCAACCAAAACAACTCTATTCACTATTTTGGACTTTGTTTGGCTTCTATGAAGCATGTATTTATGATGTTAAAATTCTGGATCTTTCCTTTTCTGTGTATCCTGTTGATAGTAATCTGTGCTTGCTTCATGTGTTTTTTTCTGTCTGACACAAAGTTTGCTTCTTTTTCTTTTTGAGACAAGGTCTTGCTCCATGGCTCAAGGTGTCTTCAAAGTCACAATCCTCCTGTCCCTGCCTTTTGTTTTGGGGATGGCAGGCAGATGCCACTATGCTAGTTTTGCCTGCCACAATTCTAAATAACACCACTTGAATTATAGGTGTTTCTTTGTGATATTAATTTACCTCTCTTAACTCATAATTCCTCTCCATGTACCTCTTCTCTCCATGGCTCTGATTTGACAAAGAAGGATTTCTTCAAATAGCATATCATGTATTGATATCCAACCATTAAAAGAATATCATCAACTTCGTCACCTCATGAATTTCAGTCAGTATTTGCCTACTAGTGACTAGTCAATTCATGAG